AACCATTTCACCAACAGGCATACGTGGGCAACGTCCTAATATTACCCCAACGATAAAGCTAGCCATGCTTGCGACAATTTACTGACTTTCACACCAGAAAATGATAATATCATTCGAGGGATCAATATTATTTTCCACCATTTTTAAATATTAGAAAATGAGGATTTTATGTTCTTCTCATTCATTTTTCTTTATCGTGCGGACAACAGAGACATATTTCACCCAGGCCCGTTCGCTTTAAGTTTCTGCGGGCCCCATCTACACATTACTAGCTGCACCCTCTTCTTCCGGACTAAAAGTGAGGTTAGTGATGAAATGTAGCCTACTTTTTTTTTAGGGAGGCCTCGGTTTCCTTTTATTTTCCAAGGGGAAAAGGGACAAAATGTGTAGAGAGGACGGATGGTTTTGTCAAATGAGGTACTTTGTGCAGCAAATAGGCGTAACGGTCCCGTTTCCAGACATTCGAAATTTTTCCTCAGCCGTTCCGGAGATAGAACTACTCTACGTTAATGTGACGATGCTTTTCGCGATTGGCTGTTACGGATCGAAGACCGCGGTTAGATATACGTTTGCCATGTACAAGAGCGAGTGGCCTTTCTCTCGTCGTCTCTCAGGGCTGCCAATGCATGCTTGTTATTTCATGTTTGGATATCTTTTGATTTTTTATCTTTTAACCTTTACCTTTTTTTTCAAATGATTATTTAACAGTTAAGTTTATCAATTAACAAGAGCCCATCCGACTCAAGGTCTAACTTTAGTGGGTGGTTTTATTACGCTACTTTCCTTTTTTCTTCTACTTTTCCTTTTTTCTTTTTTCTTACTTATTTTAAGAATCCCTGAATCATTTTGTTAAATTGTTGAAAAAGAGCATAATAAAGAAATAATTTTAAATAAAAACTGGCAACATTGAATTGTAAAATTCAAAAATTGTAAATTTTCAGTTTCTGTGCAAATTGTAATCACTACAACTATATCCGCGCTTCAAAGATGATCTTGATTAGAAGAGGCATGGTCATCGGTTTTCAATTATCTAAAATTCGCAACTGACACACCCGAGTTTTTCTGACTAATGGTATTTTGCTAATTTATTTGTGTTTTCCAATTGATTTAATATTTTTCAATTGCACATTTTGTGGAATAAGAATTAAAATGAAAAGAGAAAAAAACTGGAAACCAGAAATATTTTCGATGCTACACCCGTGTAGAGGTTTTTGTGACGAGGAATCTAACTACATCCTCATTGGTTTTTTCTCACTCCCAGAATGATTAAAAAAAAAAAAAAAAAAAAAAAAAAAAAAAAAAAAAAAAAAAAAAAAAAAAAAAAAATTACTGTGTCAATTTATTGTGTAACAGAGTCATTTCATATAAAACAATGGGCAATGCGATGCAAGAGATACACGTGTTTCTTATGATGCAAGACTCAATGAAAATGTCCGTTTTGATACCATTTGGCTCGAAAGAACAAATGTCCACCCTCTTATTCTTGAAAACTTGCGATAACTGCATAAGGGATTCAAGTCGGATTAAATCAAGGTTTAAGCGAGTACTAAATAAAGCTTTAGCGCTTGAGTCTTTCTGAGAATGATTAGAGTTTCCAGTTGTTTTTTAGGCCTTGAAAATCTGTATTTCTGCTTGACACTTCGCAACAAAGTGCATTAATACCTATGCAATAATACCGAATCTTCAAATACTCAATTTCCGATTTTTTGGCGCTTAAGTCTTTTTGAAAATGACCGAAATTATTTCTGACAAAGATTCAACAATGTTGAATTCTTACAGAACGTAACTGGAGAGAACGCCGCGATTTTTCAATTCTTTAGGAACGGGCAGCAAATGAGAGGTGGAAATGGTGTGGAGTGATAACATCAGGCAGGGGCTTTTATCTCTCTACATATCTAAAACTGTGATGCGTTCATTTTTCACGGTTGAAAGGTTTCGCCTGCCACGAATTGATCCTGAATCCACGGACCCTTTTTACATCGGAATCATAAGTATTTTCATTCGACGTCAAATATCGACACGCCTATAAGAGAACTGGGCTCTGTATACGTTGTTTCGTTGAATAAGGGAACCACGGATGAAAGAACACAATTTGCATCACAAGTTAAACATTTTTAGGGTAGAATATCTCAGGTGCGCAACTGAAATTTAACACGGTTAAATAGTAGTTTTCTTGTATCAGTTTTTTTTCGATTCCTTTGCCATTCTCTAAATTTAGATAGCGCGGCAACAAGAGTGGACATTTTCTTGCCAAAACACAAGTCCTCCGCCATCTGTTTTCCCCCTGCCGTCAGCACGTACCCGTCTATGTAAGGGCCGCACTTCTTTCACCTTCTAACATACAGGATGTCCGGAAGCTTACGTACTTAACTTTCAGGATCGATTTTTCGGCTTAATATATGACTATTTTTTCATATACATATATGCCCAAAAACGCTTCATAAGAGAGCTATGCGCTTCCAAAGTTGCCATTTTTGGCAACTCTGGAACTAGACTCAGACTCTGGATCCAAGCGCCTTTTTCCAGTGAATTTTACGTCTCCAAGTCCTCAGGGTGTTAAATGTTTTTATCGTTGTGCATATCGTCACCTTCCGCCCTGAGTGTCACAAGCGTCATGCGACGTTTCAAAATCTCCGTTGCCATTTTATTTTTTTACAGAGAAATTGTTGGTAGAATCTGTTTGAAAATTTCACTAAATTTTCTTAGTGCTGTCGATAAAATTCAGTGAAATTTTCAAACAGATTCAACCAAAAATTTCTCTGTAAAAAAATAAAATGGCGGCGGAAATTTTGAAACGTCGCATGGCGTCTGTGATACTTTGGCTGGAGGGTGACGACTCAAAATAAATGAACCAATTACAAGTTTCTTGTTTACCAAAACTTGAGCACCTGACATGTTTGGGTTGAAATTTTTTCAAGCTGAAATTGTGGGCTTGCAGGTGCAGTGGAGCAACGGTAGCTACGCAACTCGACTAAAATTGATGATGTTTACGGGGCTGGAAGCCTTTTCCGGTTTCGCGCGAAACAGATGCCGGGAGTCCTGTCCACCCGCGCCGAGCGTCGTTAGTCCGGTGCGTGTAAAGTGTCCAATTTTCCAGCGCGTAGCGGCCTGGCGTGAAGTTTCACTGTTCTTTGCAGGGGTAAGTTATGACCTCCAATTTTTAACGAGAACTGCAACGACGATTGCTCCCCACTCTCCCTCTCTCTTTCTCCTAGCACAATTGCCGCGTTGTGTTGTTCTGGAATACTGCCGTGCTACGGGAGAACGTCGTATGAGCCTTCAAACGTTGCCAAGTTTCCTTCGATTAAACTGAATTTATTAGGAAAATTTTGAATATTTTTTTACAAAATTTTCAGACAATTTGGCACGCAATTTAATCTAAAATATTTGAAAATTGCAAGGAAAAATATGCATGAATGTCGTCAAAAATACATGTTTTATCAAGGGAAAGGCAACTATCGAATGTTCATATGGCGTTTTTCCTTAATGCAGTAGAATAGTTGATCTGCTTGAACTTTTAAATAGGTTTGAAAAGAAAAATCTGACAACTAGAGCATGTTAAGGTTAAACCAGTGGTGGAAATATCACACTTACATCATCATCAACTAATTACAAAAAAAGTAAAAAAATTGCTAATTTTGGAAAAAATGCTCCGATCAGCTTTCATTAAGAGTCTTTTGCACGGATGCATATAGGATCTAATATAATGCGAACTATTATCTTCCTGCAAAATTCGATGTAACTCAAACTGCCTAGGAGTGGACATTCAAATCTCTATTCATTGTTTTCTCATCATAGAAGACGCGATTTCATCAATAGTTTCAATTTAAGAAAATAAGCATATATATGTACTTCAATAAGATCGCAAGAAAAGTAAAATAACGCGTAGGCAGAAAGTTCATAGAATGGGTCTCTTGCATGCGAGAGATACATCCGTGTGGATTAGAGTAAAATGGCACAAGTATTTTAATGTTCACATCAGTGAAGTCTGAAATTCAATCCTTAGTCTACAATTTGCGTAGTTCGGATCACGCTCTTTCAAATTTCCCGCGTCTAAGGACAGTTTCAGTTACCGCATCTGGAAGCAAGTGACAGCAGTTCGCGGCAACTTCCGGTTAACGAAAACTGACAATTTTAAGTATAATATTTATCAACATAACCTGCAGATCGATAAAAAGTTAACATTATTGTGAGCAAATTCTCCATTTGACTGTCTTAGTCAGAAATCAATAAACAAATCCCTATTAGTTTACATTAAAATTAAAAATTTTAAAATGAGAAATCGTGTTTATGAGAAGTAAGAAAGTAATTTTACAACGAGTAGACCCCTTATTTGCCAAAAGCTTGATTCCTAACCCGTTAAACTCAATCTAGATCTGAATCGCATTCAGAAAAAAGGAACCAGCGCAATTACAGTGTTTTCAAAATCGTGCAACTTCTCCTATTCTTTAAAAAATACCCAATATATGTACAATACCAAAAATTTACACAATTATTTTCCATTAAAGTCAACAATTTTTTGGTGGAAAGCCAAAATGATTTTCTTTTCTGAGAGATTTTTTAGATAATTATGAAGAGGCAACATTTTCACAACCCTGGAATCGACCTGGTTCCTTATTGCCATCTAGATCGCGATCCATCTAGCCTAGGGAGATATCCCATTATTCGAAGAGATGCCGCGTACTGCGGGTTGCGTGCGACCGGCGGCACGGCGCGGTGCGAGAAAAAAGCGCGAGTTACACATGCGTCAAAAGACAGGGAAACCAGAGCCGGGGCGAAGCGGTACTTGTTGAAGCTCAGTCATCGTCCGCCCCGCTCCAAGCCAACGCGTCGCGTCTTCGTCCCGCGAGGATCGACTTGCGATTCGCGAAAGCGCGCATTTCCACGGGCGACAATCCGGAAAACATCAACTCACTCTCAAGTCGGCGATTTCCCCCGGCTCGTGGTGTGATTTTCCAACCGCTATTACC